CAAATGAGCTCACAGTCTTTTATCCAAATCCAAATGATTAAGGGTATTTATAACCTGAAAAATTCAAAAATGGACACTAGTTTCTTGTATATACAACAATGCTCCAAAATCGCTTGTAGAAGAACCAACCTCCTTTTCACGGCCGTATTTCGAAGAAAAATCGGGCAAAGTTCGCCAAAACTTCGACGAGATGCTGATGGAAGTCGTCAGCTTGCCGGGTGTGAAAAACGAAGCGATTTGAGAATGGTGCTGTGTGGAAGAACCAGTTCAAACCGGATAGTTCCGGTTTGGAGACGCGTAACCAAACTTTTGTACACAAAACTGAACGTGCGCAGATGATCTGCGCAGTAGACCGTTGCGGTCCCTACCAAAGGGATGCCCAAGATCCCTTTCTACCAATTTTGCACAGCACTGCAAAGTTTCATGATTCAAAGTCATTCTGTCTTTGCATGCCGCCAATCTTCCGGCGAAGTAGTAAGGCAAACAGCGCCCTCTTGAAATTGAAATCGCTGCACTGACAACCCCCCCCAAACATGGTCGCCACATACATGTATCATTCATCATACATATACATCATACATATACCATCTCCATTAACATAATTCTGCTGGTATGACACTTGCTTACTTGTTGAAAATGCCATGATACTCAAAATTTTCAACTTTTATCAGTGAGGTTAAGGTACATGCCTAGCTCGGTGGTGCATTCTGTCGGATATGTACATGTACAGCGTGGGCGTGGGCGAAGTGGCAAGTGGGCGAAGTAACTGTAAAACGAGCTAGTTGCTACACCATTCTTACCTCTCTGAAGGCAAATGTTGTGTTTTCGGGGGCTTCTGCAGCACCACCCCTGTGACAAATGCTAACACTGGGCCAGTCGTTCCCGAAAAAAGCCTCAATCTGCCTGTCGTTCGGTCGCTGAAGCCGAAACATCAACAGAGAAATCACCGAAGCGATAAGCAGCGTTACAGCAATCCAGAAACACCATGCCACCGATATTAACCATCCACACGTCATCAAGGAAGGGCAAAAGATGAGCGAAAACGCTGTAAAGAAGTTGACTAAGCAACTGAGGTAGACTTGGAGCCTCATTTTCAACACATAGGCCTAGGCCTACACAGCGCCAGGCAAAGCGCGGCGAAGCGCGCGGCGTGAAGAGATGGG